AGGAAGTTGAACTTCTGTATTAATTGGACTAAGTCAGAATCAAGTGATTAAAGACTTATGGCTTTGTGTGAAGCCTCAAGACGTAAAATGTATAAGAAAGGCGTTGTATTTATGATGTATGCTTGTAGTGCATGTTTATTGATTTATTATTGGTCTATACCAGATTGTGATTCTGCTGTGTTTGGACTTTGAGGATTGGTTGGACTCTTGGCTTGAAGTGTTAGTTTGCAAGGTAAGCTTTCGTGTCCTCGGTTTAGCCATTGTGTAGTTCCCCCGTGCCCCATGGGGGAATGGTTATATGCATGCTGTGTTACATGCTTTGATATATTTGGAATGCTGTTGAGCTTTATGTGTAATGGCTTTTAATATGCATGTGTTGTTCCATCTTGACGGTAAGCCTGAGTATGTGGCGTCATACAAGACGGTGATCCGGGGTGGATGCAAGTAGCGCCTTGCACTATTTGTGGGTATTATACGTATATAAATCATGCATTTCTCTGGCCAGTAGAATAGAATTGACACACATGACATGATTATCTGCTGCATTGCACTATTTTAGAACTGATGATGATAAACTGCTTTTGAACTTATATTGCACATATAAGTGAGGTTGGGGTGGAAGATCCTTGAGGACCCCTTGCCTTACTGAGATTTCTTGTTTAGAGATCTCACCCCACGTTTGGGGAATGCTTATTTCAGGTTCATGTAGTATGGGGACTGATGTCTCTGGCGGCAAGAGGCCAGAGCTTAGTTGATGTTTAGTGTTGTTCATATTATGCTGGCATGACTGGACTGGATGTTGTTTATATTTTCTGTCATTTATGATTGTTGAGTTGAGATGTTGGGCTTTGTTGCCTTACTTGGGTGAGCATGTAGATTGTCCATGCCACTTGGTTGTTAGTACGTTTGAGTTGAGTTGTATAAACTATCAGGATTTGTCCGATTTACGTGTGGTAGTTTCGTGACTAGAGACATACTTATGTTATTTAATTAATGAGGTATTTCAGTTAGCTGTTTATTGCAATGTACATATAGGCGATGTTTTGAAAATGGTTAAGTAATCAAGTTAGTAATGATTAATGACATCATAATTGAAAAGAAAAAGATATCCCGCATTTTTAATTAAGCGCAGCTTAATACGATAGTATGATAACATTACCGGATATATACGGGGCGTTACAAAATGTGTCTAAAAAAAAATAGAATAGAGAGAAAAAAATAGAATAAAAAATAAGACTAAAATGTTAAAAATTACAATACTGGCAGAAAAGACTAAAAAAAATAGTCTAAATGAAAAAAGAAGAAGAAGAAAAAATTAAGATAAAAAACAAAATAAAAAAGAAATAGAACAAAAAGAAATCACAATTATGAATTTCCAATATATTTGATTTAATTTTTTCTTCTATTTGTTTTGTCCTTGGCCTATTTATTTTGATATGATTGGTCTTTTTTATATCCCTATCTTATTCTATCTTTTTATTTTTTTTATTTTTTTATGAAAATCTTTAGTAGATGAGGTGGCACAAGGCTAACAAGAAGAAGAAAATCAGAATAAAATAGACCAAAAAATGAAAAAAAATAAGAATAGAAAAAGACCAAACATATGTAAATAAAAATGAATAAAATAGACCAAGGACACAAAATAAAATAAAATAAAATAAACAATAAAATAAAATATATTGAAAACTCATAATTGTAATTTATTTTTATTCTATTTTCTTATAATAATTTTTTATCTTAATTTTTTTTTCTATTTTTTGTTTTTAGTATATATATATATTTCATTTGGAATATTGTCATTTTTTTTAATTTTAGTCTTTTCTGTCATTGTTGTGATTTTAACATGGTCTTATTTTTTCTTCTATTTTCATTTTTTATTAAGACACATTTGATTTAATTTTTTCTATTTTTTATTTTAGTCTTTTATTAAGTGTTCTTTTATTTTTTCTTTTCTTTTCATAACATTTGGTCTTATTTTATTTTATTGGGTTCGTTTTTTCTGTAGTTACTACAGATAAGTTATCTGCAGTAAGCCCAATACGACGTCGTTTTGGGACAAAAATTATGGTATTTTTGTAATTTTAATTTATTTCAGCATTATTATAGTCTTTATAATTATAATTTTTTAATATTTTAATCCCAAAATGATGTTATTCTGGGAATAAATGCAGATAACTTATCTGCAATAACTGCAGAAATATTTTTCTGTATTTTATTTTATTATCACTTTGTTTTGTTCTTCTAAGAAGGGTAAAATAGACATACTTATTTAAGTTTCTAACAGTGTTAAGGAGGGGTGTGAGTGAAAAATTACAGAGATTAAATGATTAAAAAGGAAGAAACATAGGAGTGTAAGTGATTCAAAGCAATATCATAAGGATTTTTTGAACTTTTCTCTTATTTTTATTAATGGATTTACACAACTTAAGTTACACAAGAAATAGTAAAAATTCATATTTAGTATTGATGGAGAATTATTATTATTAATACTAAAAAATATCAATTAATAGTTTTAATTATTTAAAATTTAAAAGTTAGTGAGTGTGGAGAAATGAGTATTTTATAATAAAAAAGAGAGAATATTTTTTTCATTGTGGATTTGAAGCAGCCGGATTGTTGCATGTGGCACAATGTAGTTGATTCATTTCTCTTTTTATTTATATTAAAAAAGAAAATAAAAAATAGTGTGGAGTAGCTGTATCCATCACCCCTATTGGGAATATAATTTCCAATTACCGTATACTTATTTTACCCTAAAGCCATATTAAAGCAGCATTTTTTATTTTATTTTTCTTTATGTTGATGAGGAAAACAGGACCATATAAATAATAGATAAGGAAGGAATTTCGGTCCTCACTAAATTTGATGTCATTCAAGTGTAGAAAAACAGCAAAGAATAAATAAGGCAAGCCATCGAAATGCAGAACCATGTTGTTCTACGATTTATAATAGGGTTATATTTATCTCACCTTGTGATAATTAAATTTTCTATACAAATAAAAGAGAGTGAGTCCCATTTTTTTTTTTTTCCTCTTTTCTCTTATTTCACTTGCAATCTTATTTCTACAATATAAAATAACTATTTTTTAATAATATAAGAAAATTATTTCCCTTAATAATATTAACATACAAAACAAAAACATAGGAAGCCATCAAGCAAGTGATCTGGGGTAGAAGAGGATTAAAAGAAAGACTTGAGTACAAAATGATATAGCATACACACATTGTTGTGAAAATCGGACCGGACCAGTCGGGTCGACTCAGAACATGGTGAATTGATCATTTGACTGGTCCGATTATCACATTGGATCGGTCAAGTATTAGACCCGGTGCAACCCGGCCGGTTTTGGTGAAAAAACCGGTGACCCGGCACGAGTTTTAAAAAAAAAATTTAAAAAAAAAAAAGTTTTTCAAAAATAAATAAATTACAATTGACATATTTGAGTGATCTGTTACTTATTGACTTACATAAGTTATGTACCTACAATCTTAATATTATCTCAATTATGCACTATGCATGAAATTTTGATTTGATAGTTAGAGATATCGTTTACAGAATCTAAAAGAATCTGAAAGATTAATATAACATACATTATGTGTTTGTTTGATCTTTTTAGGATAATAACGTATAATTTATTATATTTTATATTACACTATTTAAAATTTATATTATTTTTTCAGCTATTTGAGTATATTTATAATTTTTTTAATATAAATTATAGATTTATATATAATTACTGCATCATGCGGTTGAACCAGTGACTCAGTATCTCTAATTAATCATTGACCGGAACCGATTTTAATAACATTGCATACACTCGAGTAGGAAAATACAAACTACACTGAAGTAGGAAAATACAAACCTGCGTGTATCTATGATCAGTATCAATGTCACCCTCCACCATCTCCACACGATTCACCCCATGACCATAACCACCATCTTGACCTTCATTGGCACTCATCACAGACACATGGGCTGCTGTCACCATAGTAGCAGCAATTCCTGCATCGTTGCTACCAATTGTGCTGCCTCCATCAATATTGTTGACAACACCATCATCAGCAGCAGTTGTTGAAGCACTCCCTTTATTTTTTCCCTTGTGATGAGCTTTGCTGTGAGAGTGTTTTTCTAAATCTCTTACCTCGTTTTCCTTGCTCCTGTGCCTTCTGATGCAGAAACAGATGGTTTTGCTTTTCATGGTTGGAAAAAAGTAACTGATAGTTGAGAGCAAAAGAAAAGATAACAAAATAGACCATACTGCCAGCTTCCCTCTGCTCTCTCTTTTATAACAAAACCATGGCTAATTAGCATGATTGGTTAGGTCCTATAATTGCTTTAATGGTTTTGCTTTTAATGATAAATCACCGGACTAACCGACATTGATTGGTTGCTTTGTTATTAAGCAAATGCAATCCACCTTAACATATGAATTTTACCCAAAATCAACCATACCTTAAGCCATTGCTTTTCAGGTTATTCCTTCACTGCTCCGTCCAATTTTATTTTATTTTTTAAGAGATTCGACAACTGTTTGAAACGAGGTAGGTAGGTAAAAAGCACTTTGGTTTATTTTTTAACCGGTGTGAGACAGAATAAATAAACACCGATGTCTTTGAAGATTGAAATTACAAATTATTTTTTGAGTTAAAAAATTTAATTCCGAAAAGCATCAGCAAATTTTATGATTGATGACGGTTGGTTCCCTCTACGAAGAATCACTTGTATATAATATACTCTATTTGCATATATTAATTACTTTATTATTATTATTTTTATACTATAAAATTCAAACATATAACTTTATGCAAACAACCTTTTTCAAACTAAATAAGCCTCCCTCCACAAGACCACTCCTAATGGCTTTATGCATGTGAACATGTGATATCTCAAACTGTACTCCACCTGGCACAGATTTTAACAGCGTCACTTGTCCCATGACACAAAACTATCATCAAAATCTTACTAAAGAAATTGATATCAATTTTTCTTTACAAATTAATAATGATACAAAGAATGACACATCTTACAAAAAAATGTCACTGTATAACAAGGGCTCATTCCCATAACCACAAAAAAATTAATGATGCTGAGTAGTACCACAAAACTGCTCATTCCCATAACCACCAGCTAATGAATTATCTTGCTTCATTTATAAGAAATTAATAATATTAACGATGGTAAACAAATTCTGTTAACATTGCAAATTCATGGCTTCAAACAAGGGCTTCACAATCACAACCAACGTATCATCACGAAACTGCTCATTGCAATCACCGTACAGCCAACGAGCTGTCTTGCTTCATTTTTATGAGACCGGTTTCAAAGTTGTGCAGTACTGGCCTATAGCTGCAATATTGTCGGATCGCGTTAAAAAAGGAGCATTCGATGCAGGAAACTTAATGCCACACAATGAATGAATGTGTGCGTGCTAGATACAGAGAAAAAACAGAAAGGATCTTACAAGCGTGCAAGACCATCATATGCTTGTTTAACTTGTTCAAGTTGTGCAGAAAGCTGCATGACTTCTGCTGATAGTGCCTCTGCTCTGCTCTGTTCTTTCACTAGTTGGCCCTGCAAAGCAAACAAAAAGGTGCAAAATTATAACGCATGGATCACAAATTGTCAAATGTTAAGCACGGAGAGATCTCGACCACACACAATCCCCTGAAAATTTCTCTTAAGAAAAATTAGAAAATTTTAGCTTTGACAATTTATTTTGGAAGTGAACGTTTGACCCATGGGACCCAACAAGTCAATAACATGAATTGACAACAACGAGGAACAAATATGCCATGAATAAGTTTAAGTTACTGACCTTCATAGATGCCATCTCTCCTGTGGATGCAGAGGAACCAATCTCATGTGCCCCATTTTTAAAGGAGTCTGGTAAGCCCCTAGCCTGTTCCATTCTCAATTTCTCTAGAATCCCACGGAGCTCTTCATTTTGCTTAAGACACTCCATCACCTGCAGAATCACAGGTCAGCACCATAATAATAAGAAACAAAATTCTTTACTGTATTGAACTATAAGGTTAGTTCATAAAATTATAATATATACACCCTAAAGAAAGAACTAAACAAAGCACATATATCAAAAGAAATGAAATAGTCAGTGCTAATCTAGTACTAAAATATATCTAACAACCGTGCCAGTCTTAGCTAAAATATAATGCGTAGGAAACAATACTTAATGCAAGAGAACACCATCTCTCAATGTACAACTGTACATAAAATTTCTTCACCAACTATAATGGTATATATGACCGACACACTACCAAAACCAAAAAGAGGATGTCATAAATCAACACCATATTAAATTGTCAAATGAAGCAGGATTTTGCACAACACATAAGAACAATCAGCCTTCGCACATGAATCACTTATCACAACAACAGTGAACCTAGATTTCATTTCTTTTAAAGCCTCTGTAGAAAATTTCTCTGATACATCTACAGGAGCAAAAATTCTTAGTCAGAATTTGTTCACTGAATTTCATTAGTCGAAAGATAAATAGACTCGTGACTCTGAAAAACTCAGAAGACTAATCCAGTAAACCATGGTTGCATAGATGAGACCTTCAACCATTAACCATAAATCATATTTAGTCAAACTCCTGATGCTGATTGTTACCTGTTTTTCCCATCTACCTGCAGCTCCAATGGCCTCCTGATATGAATTTGAGAGATTGGAATTTTCCTCAAAAAGTCGCTCTATTTCTGTAGATTGTGAGTCAATCTGCCAACGAGATGACAAACCAACCACTCAATCAGATGGAATACACAGGAAAGTACCAAGTAAAATTTAGAAATAGAGAGTTTACCTCCATGAGAAGTTTCTGCCTACTGCTTTCCAACCTCTCAATAGCTAATGCCATATCATGCAATTGCATATCAAGTTTCTGCTTGTCTTCCTGAGATTTTAAAAATTCAAATATCATTATGCCAGAACATCTTAACCATGAGCAAAAGGTTGGATGACCATTAAACAACAAATATGTTAGTCTGGAAACAGAGTTGGGGCTAAAAATTTTAGGTCATTCATGATCAGCTGCCAAAACATACATGATACACAATTAGAAGGCTAAAGGTTTCTTTGTTTGAGTAGGTGGAAGATAGAGAGGTGAAAATTATGAATAAAAATTATTTTAAACTTGTTTGATATAAAGAAAATATGAGAAGGTTGAAAAAGGAGCGCAGCTCATGTACAATCTAGCCCACAAATTTTGGCCACTACTATATAGTTAAAGTGAATTGAAAGTGATTTCCACCGTCGACCAAAGGATGGAAATAAAAACCTTCCTATCCAACTCCATTTTCACCATCCTCCTTATTTTCGACCTACCTAGACAAGCATAACCTAAAACTAGATAACAGTAAACACAAATACTAGTATTTTTGCTACTGCCTGACCAATGGTTTGAATGAAACAGTAACTCAATTTCTTGCCATAATTAATCAGCTGACAAATATCAAAAATTGAAAATTCACTAAATAACTCATATTAATGAAGTTTTTCTCACCAAAGAAAACGCCTTGTGAGCTGCTTTATCTGAGACTTCTGCATATGAACAGCATATGAAAAAACCAGGGTCAATACCATGTTGCAGTGCATCAATTCAACAAGAAGAAATATAAAGTAAAAAACGAAATGATTTGGAATAGAAAACTGAGTCCATAGACATGCTTGTTAGAGAATAGACACTCATAAGTACAACGAAGAATTCATGGCATAAATCCATGGGAAGATATGAATTTAGATTAGTTGAAGCCAGAAAACAGTTATAGGGGACCACTCCTAGAAAGTATAAAACGTGTATTTCTTTAGGAGAACATGGTGGTAGTAATAATCAACTAATAGTTTGAAAAACAGAATGATTCTATCAATATCTTCTGAGGCTTTGAAGAACTAGAACTCATGGATATGTCATTGAGATCCAAGGTTGGCATAAACCATCCAAGTAGAGCAATTGCTTACATAACAGATTGGCAACATGCTTTGTTTCATTTAGCCATTGCAAGTATAATATAGATTATACAGAAGTTTTCAGAAAAGAACCTGCAGCCTCTTTAGACATGGAGTGAAGTTTCGCTTCCAACTCTTCCTTTTCAGACATCAGTGATGCAATGCGAATTTGCTCTTTTGCTAATTGTTCCTGCCCCTGGTGCCTCAACAGCGACTCTCGCTATAGATTTTAATCACCGTCAGAAAAAAAGAAAAAAAGAGAGCACAAAAAGAAATTAAAGAAGACTTGGCAAAATGCCAATGATATAATCATAAAATTACCTGCAGTTCCAATTTTAAACCAGCTAACTCCTTTTCTAATCTTTGAAGATGATCTGGTGGATTACCAAGTGATGAAATTGTGCTAACCGTATTAGTCATTGCTTGCTGCTGAATTAAGTTTAACTCTGCTCTCAATGCTGCAGCATCTTCCTCAGCCTAGAGCAAGATAGCCAATAAGATTCTAAGAACAAAAAAAGGTCCTTCATATCATAGTATTTTAGTAAAATAAGGATCCCATACTCGATATTGCTCATCTTCTGCTTCCTTAAGACGTTTCTTCAGGGTACGAAGCTGCGCTAAAAGGTCCTCCTGCACCAATATTTGAGTTCTAATTGGGATTGTGAAAGATTAAAAAAATGGTGCAACCAGGAGACAAGAATATCATTACCCGTGCAACAACTGCTGCATCTTTCTCCATTGCAACATCCTTGAGAGCTTTCCGGAGAGATGGCACCGTGTTTTGCTCCTACATGAATCAAATTGGGGTTTAAAACTAAAATACACAAGTGATAAAACTATTCCAATCTCCATACTGCGGAGTGCGGTAGTCATTAGGACCAAGTTGTATGCTACCTCCGGGTACATGTATTCATGACGCAATATCCATATACATATCCATTATCAAATATGTAACTAAAACCAAAAATAAAATAAAATTCATTGTCAACCCTTTTTATTTACCAGATCATTCAACTGCTTCTGCATTGCACCATTATCAATTTCCATCGTTTGAAGCTGCAATTATAGACAAAATACAATCAGCCCAGTGTTTTTTTTTTTTTTTTTTTTAATAAATAAATGAATAAATAACACATGGATATCAATTTGAATCTTCACCTTTAAAGTTATTTTTTTGTTTTCTTCCTCCAAATCTCTGTTCTTATTTTGCAGATCTTTTAGTTGAGATAGTAGAGCGCTAACGTCTGTCTGTAGAATAGTATACACAAAAAGACAATTGCATTTCAAACTTCAAAACATCTCGTCTTTTAAAAAACGGTTAAGTATAGACTCCGATTGTTCATTGTTTCAAAAAATAAGCAATTAAAAAAAGAAGAAGAAAAAATAAGAAAAAAGACGATAGAGTGAATAAGATCCTTAATAATACAAAAAGATGTTACCTCAGAGAGACGATTTCCGCTCTCCGATTTGTTCATTCCCGCAATCTCTGGAGGAAAAGGAAAAATAGTTTTGATTGCAGAATATATGAAATAGATTGTTTCTATTGGCCAATAATACTAACCGGAGGTGCTCGGAACCTGGCTCAGATCTGGCCCCGAAGAGGCTTTGCTCAATCTCTCCGCGGCTCTCTTTTGACGAATTTCCTCCAGCTGTGCATGCAATCAGCCATTCAATTCAAATGAAATCAAATTGCCAATAAAAAAAAAAAATCAGATAAAGAAAATTGAACGGGAATCAAAGAGGAAGAAGGGAAGTGAATTGATATGAATCCAGAGAAAGAGAGTGAAATGCATGGAAAGGAGTTTCTACCGTTCGTCGACCAAGAGATGCATGACGCGCCTCCATCGTTACAGGTGAGAATGCCCGTCTGCAAATTCGCCTCGCCGCCCCCTGTTTTTTCGTCTTTCTAGTGAGCCTAGCCTCTTCTTAAAACTTTATATTAATAAAGTTATATAATACAGTTTTAACAAAAATCGTCTGGGTGGTGTAGTTGGTTATCACGCTAGTCTCACACACTAGAGGTCCCCGGTTCGAACCCGGGCTCAGACATATGTTTCTATTTTATTTTTATATCTGAATTTTATTGTAATAAATCTCTCAATGATTTATGCCATGAAACAGTTGGGCTTTGATAAATCTCTATCTGACGACCCAATTCAAAAGTGGGCCGCTCCACGAAGGCGTGGATCAAAGTCCGAACTTTCAGAAAACGCCGTGAGTCCGTTAAGTTTCAAATTTGGAATCAGTTACATGTTGATGTTGATGTTCATTTTTATTTTTATTTTATTTACTTCGTTAGTTATTTGCAACGAGATCTGTTTCGGTGTAAGAGAATCAGAATCAACAAGCATCAAAGATGAGGAGGGAAGACACAGTGAAGCTGATTAGTGCGGAGGGTTTCGAATTTGTTGTGGATAAAGAAGCTGCAATGGTTTCACAAACCATACATAACATGCTTACCTCTCCTGGTTTGACTCTTCCCTTAGATTAGATTAGATTAGATTAGATCACTGTGATTAGGGTTCCAATCTTCTAAATATATTTCATTTTTCTTTAATAGGGAGTTTCGCTGAAAGGCAGCATGGCGAAGTCACTTTTCCTGATATCAGCACCACCATTCTCGAGAAAATTTGCCAGTATTTCTATTGGCATCTCCAATTTGCCAGGTGTTTCTTTCTCTCCTCTCTCTATTTTTTGTTTCCACTATTCAAACATTGTTAAATAGGAGGATATCTATTGCTTTTCACTTTGACAGGCGTGTGCTTGTGTAATTTAATATGAATTCTGTTGTATCAAAAGTTTTTTGTGAATATTTATAATAAATTGTATCGGGAGCTACCTGTTATCTTGAAGTGCAGTAGGAATGTTAATGAGTTTTTTTTTTTTTTTTCCAACTCTATACATAATGTCTCTGATCTGATCCATCAACTTGCAAAAGTTCTAAATACTACCAATTGGCTTCAAAATAGATCCATGGTTGATGATCTGACGGTTTAAAAACGTCAGCATTTGGTTCTCAGGGAAAAAGAATTTGGGTGACTATTTATATACAGTGTAATAACATCTCCTTGACTAGACCACATAAATTGTGATGTTGGAGTCCAGTATCCAGCATTTTCAACAACCCTATTGCTAGTTAAGCATGTTCAACAACCCCATTGCTAGTTATCTGTGCATAAACAATGTACCTTCCATTTATGTTTTGCTTTGTGTGTATCATTGTGGATCATTTTGTGTATGCATAAGAAGTAGGATGGTTTGGAAACGGGGAGGATTCTAGCTTGTTGAACTATTTGACTCTAGAAGGTGAATGTTGATGTTGTAGTTTTTTCTTCAATGTTAAAGACTTGATGGACCTGGAAGGTGGTTATTTGTTTTATCTGAGTATGGAGTTATGTGGAATTTAGTGCTCCATAGAAGAGATATGGTTTTACATGATTTGATGTGCCATGTTGTTAGGTCCTTGTGATACACCGTCATATAATCTCAAGGTCAGTTATACACCTTTCATTGTATGCAATTTTTTATTATTTTACCTTCCCTTATCATGCAGATTGATGTTGATCTCATGCCTAAGTTCCACTTTTCACATAGTATAGCTTCATGTTTTGAGTTCCTTAGTGTCTTTTGTTGACCTATTGAATGTTTTGATGGTTTTTACTTCTAAACATCATTAAATCGGCAGGGGGATTATGAAATTTCAGTAGGCAAGCCTTTTAGGGTGTCTATTTCTACTTTGTTGTTTTATTTGTTAGAATCATCTTTAGTTTGTGAGAAGACAAATGGCCAGCAGGTTATACTGATGAAAGGTTGTTTTTTAGAGGATGTGCGGAAATACAGTTGAAGAAACAATTTAAGATTTGATTCTTGGCCTTTTGGTCCCCCCTTCTGTAGTCTCTTTCACTACTATTAGGATAATAATACAGAAAGATACACATCCTCAACGCTGGCGTGGTGATTATTGTGTTTACTCTCATCCAATAAATACTTATTATCAAAGAGGGGGGAAAAAAGAGGCAGCAGACCTCTGTATTATATACTTTTGAGCTTTTAGTGTGTCAATAATTTCTAAGACAACACATCCTGAGGTGTGAAACATTGATTCTGATCGTTGACCTATCATTTAGTATTGCTTTCTATATTTTAAATTACTTGAATATAAAATAATATGTTGTATATTGATCTGTGTCAGAGAGTTACAATATATAGAGACCCTAATGGGCTTAAGTGAAAGGCCCAAACCTAATCCTAATACAGTCAGAATACAGTCAGAATATTTACGGATAAGACGGAATCCAATCATATCTAATCATATCATATCTAATATTCTAACACTCACCCTCAAGCTGGTGCGTATATATTCTGAGCACCAAGCTTGTTACAAATGTATTCAACCCGAGGACCCCTAAGAGCTTTAGTGAAAACATCCGCTAGTTGATCAGAGGAGTTGACGAAAGCAGTCTTGATTTCTCCTGACTGAATCTTTTCTCGAATGAAGTGACAATCAATCTCTATATGTTTGGTCCTCTCATGAAAGATAGGATTAGAGGATATATGTAGCGCAGCTTGATTATCACAGATGAGTGTCATGGGTTGTTTCTGTTCACAAAGATGAAGCTCCTGAATCAACTGCTTTAACCAGACTAACTCACAGGTAGCATTTGCCATTGCACGATACTCAGCTTCTGCACTAGATCGAGCAACAACAGGTTATTTCTTGCTCTTCCACGAAATTAAGTTTCCTCCAAAGAAGACACAATAGCCAGAAGTAGAGCGTCTGTCCGAGGGTGATCCTGCCCAATCAGCATCTGAATAACCACAAATTTATGTATTTCCCTGATCTGAATACAACAAACCTTTTCCTGGTGCTCCTTTGATGTATCGGAGGATCCTCACAGCAGCATCCCAATGTGAATCACAAGGGGAATCAAGAAACTGACTAGCCGTACTAACAGCGAAAGAAATATCTGGCCTAGTCACAGTAAGATAGTTGAGCTTCCCAATTAGCCTCCGATAACGTCGAGGATCAGATAACGCCTCCCCCTGTCCGGGCAATAACTTGACATTAGGATCCATAGGTGTATCAACTGGTTTACTCCCCAACATACCAGTTTCTTCTAGGATATCCAAGGCATATTTCCTTTGACAGATAGAAATGCCCTGTCTGGATTGCGCCACCTTAATTCCCAAGAAGTAACGCAGCTTCCCAAGGTCCTTTGTTTGAAATGTACTAAACAAATGCTGTTTTAACTGACGAATTTCGTCTTGATCACTTCCGGTGAGAATGATGTCGTCAACATAGACTAACAAATAGATGCACTTATCAGGAGATGTAATCCTATAAAACACAGAATGGTCAACTTTACTGCGGATTAAGCCAAACGCCTGAACAGCAGAACTGAAGCGACTGAACCATGCTCGAGGAGATTGCTTGAGACCATATACGGATTTCCGAAGACGACACACCTTTCCAGACTCCCCCTGAGCAACAAAACCAGGTGGTTGCTCCATGTAAACTTCTTCTTGTAAATTACCATGAAGAAAAGCATTTTTGATGTCAAGTTGAAGAAGTGGCCAGTGACAAACAACAGCAAGGGCAAGAAAGAGGCGGACTGACGCCATCTTAGCGACCGGAGAAAATGTATCGCTATAATCAAGGCCAAAGATTTGAGTAAAACCCTTGGCAACTAAACGTGCCTTGAGACGATCAATATGGCCATCAGGTCCAACTTTCACAGTAAAAACCCAGCGACAACCAACTATAGACTTCTCTGGAGGAGCAGAAACAAGGTCCCAAGTGCCATTGGAATGAAGTGCAGTCATCTCATCAAGCATTGCTTGGCGCCACCCTGGATGGGAAAGTGCTTCACCTGTGGTCTTAGGAATAGAAATAGAAGAAAGACTAGAAACAAAGGTGAAATGAGGTGAAGAAAGACGGTCATAACTCAAAAAGGTATAAAGAGGATAAGGGTTACGAGTAGTACGTGTACCTTTTCTTTGAGCAATGGGAAGAGTCTCTGATGAAGGATCCGGAGGGGAAGAAGCAACAGCAGTGGGCGATGAGTCAGCAAGAGTCGAGTCGACAGGAGGCACAGTTTTGCGACGCTGATAGGTGAGAAGTGGACGGTCCTTAGGTATAGAAGCAATAGGTTGCTCATCTGGAATAGAAGCACCTGCAGCTGGCAAAGACAAGTCAAGAAAAGGGACCGGAAGTAAATGATCAACCTGTGACATCTGAGATGGGATAGAATTAAAGGGTTGTTGATCAAGAAAAGGGACATCAGCGGAAACTAAGTAACGCTTAAGGTCGGGAGAATAACAACGATAACCCTTTTGAAGACGAGAATAACCAAGAAAGATACACTGAAAGGCTTTGGATGTTAACTTATCCTTATCAGGAGTGAGATCATGAACAAAACAAGTACAACCAAAGACATGCGGAGTTAGAGGATAAAGAGGAACATCTAGAAGCAATAGATTATGAGGAATGTCATTGTGGAGCACAGATGAAGGCATGTGATTGATGAGAAAACAAGAGATGAGTACAACATCTGCCCAGAAGTGAAGGGGAACCTGCATATGAATAAGAAAGGTACGGGCAGTTTCAATGAGATGTCTGTTTTTACGTTCAGCCACCCCATTTTGTTGTGGACTGTGAGGACAAGTAGTTTGATGTAAAGTACCTTGTGTGGCCAAGAAATTAGAAAACTCAATAGAAACATATTCCTTAGCATTATCACTACGTAGAATACGAATAGAAACACCAAATTGAGTATGGATCTCAGTAGAAAACTTTTTATAAATGGAAAATAACTCAGAACGATTTTTCATTAAATAGGTCCAAGTGCAACGGGAAAAATCATCAATAAAGGTAACGAAATACCGAAAACCTAAGACAGACAAGGTACGACTTGGACCCCAGATATCTGAATGAACAAGAGAGAAAGGGGCATCAGCTCGTTTATTGACTCGACTGGCAAAAGAGGAGCGTGTATGCTTCCCTTGTTGACATGACACACAATCTAAAGACTGAAGACCGGACAAAAGAGGAACCATTTTCTGCAACTTTGAAAGACTTGGATGACCAAGGCGACTGTGGATAAGTTGTGGAGATTCTGTGAGAGAGCATGCTACTGAAGGACGAGGCACATCCAGATAATAAAGCCCCCGTGACTCACGACCCACTCCAATCATTTTCTCCGTACCCGGATCCTGCACAGAAACAGAATGGTTAGAGAAAGTAATGGTGCAATTGAGGGAGTGGATCAACTTACTAATAGAAATTAAGTTATAAGGGATGCCAGGAATGTAATAGACAGATGTCAGGGCCAAGGTAGAGGTCGGACGAGCTTGTCCAATCCCACGAACTGGGGCTTTGGTTCCATCCGCATGGGTAAAAGACGGTAAATGATTAGAATAAGTAAGAGATGTAAAGAGTTCCTTATTACCACAGAGATGATCGGTAGCACCAGAGTCAAATATCCAAGTGTCAAGTGATGTAGAATGAGAAACACAAGCAACGGGATTACCAGTATAAGGCTGAGACTGAGGAGAAGCCTTCCTGAGAGGGGTTTGGAGTGCAGCATAGTCCGAACCTGAACCAAATGATGCATTGTCTGACTGAGCTATATTTGCAACAATATAAGGAGAGTTAACCTCCGAGAGATCAGGAGATGCTGCTGCCATTTAAAGATAAAATATAAAAGCCGTAAACGAAGGCAAACGATATCCAATTAAGAAGAACCACGCGTCTAAGGTCAGACCCACAGAGAAACAATCACAGATCCAGAAAGGGGAGGAGAAGGCGATCTTCTCTGTCCAAGACCGGCCGGAAAAAGTCGCCGGGATAGTGCTCACGCGCCGGCAGAAGGTGGCGCGTGAAGCCCACGCGCAGAGAAGACAGGTGGCGTGTGACGGCGCGTTGGAGATGCGTTGCTGACCGGACCACCACAGACCTAGTCGCCGGGAAGAGAGGGTCCTGATCGCGTGAAGTTTGGTCGGAAAAGTCGCCGGAAAAAGTCTCTGGTTGCCTGAACAGTGATTCTGACGGCGGGCAGTGGTTCCGGTGGCCGTCGGAGGTGCTGACGCGTTTGGAAAAATCACTCAGAGGCTGTTTACAGCCCTAGAAGGCTTGCCGGAAGGACGCACGGCAAGAAAGAGGACTCCTAAGCAATGGGCTTAGGTTTTAAAGCAAAAAAAACAAGGTTTCTAAGCGGAAGCGAGGGTTCCCAGAACGAAAGAGCTCTGGTACCAACTTGAATATAAAATAATATGTTGTATATTGATCTGTGTCAGAGAGTTACAATATATAGAGACCCTGATGGGCTTAAGTGAAAGGCCCAAACCTAATCCTAATACAGTCAGAATATTTACGGATAAGACGGAATCCAATCATATCTAATCATATCATATCTAATATTCTAACAAAATTAACCATGGATTATTTCCAGTTTGGAAATTACTGGACAACCTAAAAATAATATTACCATTTACAATTTTTTAGGCTGCTTTCCCAAATGATATTTTGGCCCACGGCTCTACATTTTCATCTGTCTTCCTTGATGCTTTTCAGTAGATTCCTGTGGTGGGAGGAGCATGAATGATATTTTTGTGTGTGTTGGAAGCAATATTTTCCTTTGGGAAGTAATTAAGCTCTAAAGCTTTGATATGAAATCTCTCATTTTATGTCATTCTATTTTCTATCAAAATCGTTGTATTGACTTGAGTATGTTGCTCTTGCTAGTGGGAAGGAGACGGAATTTCCTATTGAACCTGAATTAACTCTGGAGCTGATGATGGCTGCCAATTACCTCCATACATGAGCACCCCAAAGGTCATGGTTCTCCTTTCTCATTGTAAGCCTTTATTATTCTCCAGGAGTCTAACAAGTTTATATTGTATAATGGTAGTTTTTGTTGTAATTTTTACTGTTTTTGCTCTTCATTTGGTTGTTCATGCAGATGGAACTGTTGCTTAGTTGGACTTTCAAGAGATAGGAGCGTAGTATTGCTGCCATTATAAACTGTATCTTTGCTGGAACAAAGTATATATGTAATCTGTGTATCTTTAACTAATGATTGCTTGACTCAGCTTGCAAGACTCTGATGCATGAGTGGCTGTTAGAAGCTGTCGAGTGATGTTTCTGAGTAAACTTCCTGATTCAAAAGAAAATGCTAATTAATGGGAACATTACCATCTCCAAATAAGGTAAAATTATAATGCTCTTTTCAGTTCGATCGTCCATAACAGGCAACAGCGACGTATATATACTGGCGAACGTAGGATTTTTTATGGTGGAATGCAAAAATAAAATATCAAAATTACAAGTGTTATTAAGAATAATAAGATAAGTTAATTATTACAAATATCTTTTAAGGAGGGATTAACTATGGGAAAATTGTGTGTTATTTTAAAAGATGTAAAATTGTGTCATTTTATGAGAGAGAGAAAAATGGATTGCGGGGGAAGGGGGAGGAGTGGACAAAAAAAATAAAGGTGTGAATTTCTCTTCTCTATGAGAGTAAAATAACACAAGTTGTGTAATTTAAAAGAACAAATATTTTTTTCATTAACCATTAGTACTAATAGTCTATTATTATTAGAAAAATGTCATTTTATACGTGTAATAATAAAAAAATCTAAATTTACCTTGCTTTGTTCGCTTTGTTACTACGACAAAGGCATGGAATGGTTGAAAATGAAATGGAATTTTTTTTTTTTTTGGATACATCAAAATGGATTTCATCTCACTCGTGGTTTACTGCTTCCAAGCTTTTGACCTATTTAATATGGGTTTTATAAGAGTTATGTTGTAAGAAAAATGATTGTGTAATGTTATAGAAATTCGTTTTGCGTGTCGTAATTTTTTTTTGCTTCAAAAAAATGTGGGCCCCACAAAATATTGTGTGTGTATTAAACTTTCTTGTGTCATGTTAAATGATAAATGCAAATCCCATTTAATATTAAGAGTAAAGCTCATTTTGGGTTTCTAATAAAAAATACGATTCTCACTTTAGTCCCTTATAAAAAAATCTAGTATCATGGTCCTTATGAAATTCAAAGTGGATCTATTTTAGTCATTCTGAGGACTAATGTGGGTCTTTTTTGAATTTGTGAGAGATCACGATTTTAACTAAATGGGTCCACTTTGAATTTCTTATGGATCTCGAGATTAATTTTTTTTGTAAGAGACTAAAGTAAGGATCATATTTTTTATTAGGGACCCAAAAGAGACTTTACTCTAATATTAATTAATTTCGAAATGATATTAAAAATAATATTTTACCAAACTTGATTTTTTTTCATGTCATACATATGTGGAAGAAGATAAAATTTTACGTGGTATCAACATGGAATTTCGTTACTCCATGACACGATATATATATATATATATATATATATATATATATATATATATATATATATATATATATATATATATATATATATAGTAGGGTTATAATGATAATTTTTTTTTTACAAACTTACAAATTACTCTATGTCTGACTAGTAAGATACTCTTGAATAGAGTATTATCGGTCAGACATAATATAATTTGTAAACAAAAAATTTATAAATATAACATTATATATATATATATATATATATATATATATATATATATATATATATATATTGTTTATGTGCTACGTGTCACAAAATGGTGAAAGACACGCGGATCTGGCCCTTTTACAGTTTTACCAGATTTGTTCACATGGCTCACCAAAATATTTTCTATATTCCAGATATATCAAATACTCGGTACATTTTTTGTATCATCATTCATCACCACATGCCCTCTTTGATTCTTTCCGAATGTCGGGTTCGAACCGAACACTCAGCATCGAAGATAACTCCAATCCAACGAGCAATTCGGGAAAGAAGCACTCGGTACATTTTTTATCAAATATAAAATAAAATAACATATTTATATTATTTTTGTCTTTATGAATATTTTCTTCCATTTTCTTTTGAGAAAAAAAATATGTACTCCCAGAGTATTGAATATGTACTCGTGGTCACATAGTCACATATATATATATATGAAATGAATAAATTACTGACATCATACTATTTATTGGGTAGGATCTTTTAGCACTGATGTTAAATTAAAAAGTTTGATACCAAATTTTAATTGTTAATTTTCTTCAATTTAATGGTTATAATTTATTAGATTATATTTGGGTTCATTTTTTTTTGCAGTAAATATAAATAAGCTATCTACATTAAGCCCAAAATGATATTGTTTTGGGGTGGAAATCAATGTATTTTTGTAATTATAACTCATTACAAGGTTATAATAGTTTTTATAAAATTAATTTTTTAATTTCCTAACAAAAAATGCAGTCCTCATTTTTTTAATTATAACGTCATTTTGAGAATGAATGTAGATAACTTATCTATATTCACTGTAGAAAAATTAAAGTCATTATATTTATGAATTAATAATTAATTCTTAATCTATGGTAACGTTGAATTTGTTAGGAATGTGGCTTCCATACTCAAGAGGGGGGTGAATTGAGTATTACAAAATTTTCGCAAAAGCTTCATTCTAGTTTCTAAATAATCATTTCAAGCAAACTTTGATATGTGAAAAACTAATCAATACATTCAGACAATCCATAATATATAATATATCATAATTATAGAACTTATACTAGCACATACAAGATATCAAAGAAGCAATTAAAATGCTAGAAATAAAGAGTTTAGAGAATTGCTAACACAATATATCCTTGTTTGGTCACCACCACTTGTGACCTACGTCCAGACTGAAGTCGCTCGATCAAATCTTTCACTAATGGTCAAGCTTCACGGGTGCTTGACAAACCTTTACAATCTTCCAAGATTTCGGGTTCTTGGATACCTTTCAATCTCCAAGTTTACAGGTACTTGGTAACCTTACAATTCACTTCAAATTTACTTAGGTATTTGGCTACCTCTCAAATCATGAGTATCGCAACCCTTTCAACTCAAGAATACAAGAAGGGGAATATTAGGAAATGAATATGCACTCTCAAAGTGTGGATATACAACTTAAAGCACTATGGGTATATGGATTTTCAAGATATGAGCTCAAATATATTTGGTCTTTGAAAGATATAAAAAAATATGCAAATGATAGTGTAGAAGCTCTCAAATCATACTTAAGATGTGTAGGAATAGTGATCAATATGTTTTAGGGTCATAAGGAATGTATTTATAGTGTTTCCATTGAAAACTAGCCGTTTATAGTTGTTTATAGCCGTTTTATGCATTCTGCCCAGTAAGTATTCGAATACTTTTCGTGTGGTATTCGAATACTTCTTCATTTATAGCCGTTATAGGCCTTCTGCCCAGTAAGTATTCGAATACTTTTCGTGTGGTATTCGAATACTTAATCAGGTATTCGAATACTTTATTGACAGCAAGAACACTGTTTCGTATTTTGGACATAACTTGAGTTATACTTGTCGGATTGATGTGATCTTGCTCTCATTGGAAAGACAAAAGAAATATATACAACTTTAATGAAGAACACAAGATCCAAATCTATCATATTAGATACGAAAAATTGTATGGAAGGAAGCAGAAAAATTAAGCAACAAATTTTAAATTCAAATGTGTTCTAGCTTACTTCCAACCACTTTTTGTGAAAGATCTTGACTTGATAAATATGTTTTGAGGTTATAAAATATGTCAAGGATCTTTTCCATGGATTTTTCAAATTTCTTTCAAGTATATAAAGATTATGATTATGCAATTTGAAAAACATGTTTACTTTAAGAAAAAAATTTAGCTCATGCAATGCAATCTACCATATACCCTCACATATATTCTAAGTCCTAAAGATATATTCCAAATATGATTTTAGACTTAACTGTATGTCTTGTGTCTTGTATCTTTTCTTGAATGTGATGTTTTGACTTGTTAGATATGACAATGTCTGACACTTTGTTGGTTTTGATCATTTTTCACCATGATTATGATGTTGAGCTTCTCTTAGATGTTGTCCATGGTTAGTTGTCTTTGATCTTGGTGTTGCTCTTCTAATTATTCATTGTTGCTCTTGATCCAATAATCTTGCCACTTTGATATGACATCACTCTTCTTGTGTGACTACATCATACATCTTCAATATCCACATACGGTTGATGTTTTTTGCTCTTAATCAAAGCTCTTCTCTTTTTGTTGTTGTCATTTTGTTATTATCAAAACATACCTTATATCTACAGAATTGGCAGGAAATTAACGATTAAAATCTTGTGTCAAAAATTTTAGTTTGATATCAATGTGAAAGGATCTTGTCCCTTATTTAATAATGAATTATTATAATTAATGATATGCTAATAATTTATTAATCTATTATACAAATTTAAATACATTAATTTTGTGCAAATTTTTGGTGTGTTTGTGTATATATATATTGATTTTGCCGTGTACTGCTGTGTTCTTAGTTACATTATTACCATCTCAAATTCTTTAGAATAATAATGTTGCTTTCACTATTTTCCTTGAAAAACAGAATAAAAAACTGATATTTTATAGGGATTTTAGTTTAACCTTTAATATGATCAGAAAAACTTTCTTATACACAGAACATTTTGTGGGGCTCACACTTTTTAAAGCAAAAAAAAAAAAAAAAATTAGGCACGCAAAACGAATCTCTATAACATTACACAATCACTCTTCCTATAACATAACTCTTATAAAACCTATTTTTATAATGGGTAAAACAAGAATTATGTTACCGAAAAACTTGAATATTTCCTGTTGAAACATAAAATCGATGGACCCACATGTTTTTTTTTTTAAAAAAAGAAAGAAAAAGAAAGTATAAAGTTCAATGTATCAGCAGGACAAGTTTTTGGTTTTTCTATAACAGAACCAATCGTTTAACCCTTTTATAATTATTAGTAAAAGCATATCAAATGAAAAAGAAAAAAAAAACACTCACAAACTTTACTCGAAATAGAGCATTGTTCGCTACTACTTAGCAGAATCATAGGAAAGTCAGCAGCACCTGAATCTTATGGAATACTACTTAGTACATAATTTATTCTAGTGGAGCCCTTTTGCTGACGAGATTATACTTGAACTGAATTAACCGGGAGTAGATTCTTTCGTGTGAAGAAGTAGTTATATGGTTATGTTATTTGATCACAACCACTCATTTATAAATTATACATTTTTTTTCTCTTATCTTATTATCAATG